CCCAGTAAAGAAAAAAAAAAAAAAATCACATGATCTTTTTCATTGACGCAAAGTATTTGACAGAATGCACTTTCATAATAAAAATTTCTCAGGAAAATAAGAACATAGGGGAATTTCTTGACTTCATAAAGAACATCTATAAAAAAACTACAGGGGGGCTTCCCTGGTGGCGCAGTTGTTGAGAGTCCGCCTGCCGATGCAGGGGACGCGGGTTCCTGCCCCGGTCCGGGAGGATCCCACGTGCCGCGGAGCGGCTGGGCCCGTGAGCCATGGCCGCTGAGCCTGCGCGCCCGGAGCCTGTGCTCCACGACGGGAGAGGCCACAGCGGTGAGAGGCCCGCGTACCGCAAAAAAACAAACAAACAAACAAAAAACTACAGCTGACATTATACTTAATGGTGAAAGACAAAAAACTTTCCCTGCAAGATGGGGAATAAGCCAAGGATATTATCTCTTACCACTCTTATTCAACATTTTACTGTAATTCTAGCCCTAAATAAAAGGAAAGAAAAGACACACATTATCTATCTAGAAAATCACCAGAAATGTACAAGACAGTTCTAGAATAAATGAGTTCAGCAAGATAAAAGGTAAGCATACAAACATCAGTTGTATATCTATATACTAACAATGAACAAGCAGACAACAAAATTCAAAAGAAAATATAATTCACATTTACTTTAAAAAAAAAACGCCACTTAGGTATAAATCTAATGAAACATGTATAGGATTTTGTATGCCGTAAACTACAAAATACTGATGAAAGAAATCAAAGAAAGTCTAAATAAATGGAGAGACCTACTCTATTCATGGATTGAAAGACTCAGAATTGGTATAGTAAAGATGTCAGTTCTCCCCAAATATGTGTACAGGTTTAATATAAATCCTGTGGAAATCTCAGTGAGGCTTTTTGTTAGTATAGACAAGTTTATTCTAAAATTTATATAGAAAGGCAAAGGAACTAGAATAGGTAAAACAGTTTTGGAAAAGAAGAATGAAGTCAGAGTAATCAGTGTGGCCTATATCAAGGCTTATTAACTAGCCACAGTAATAAAGGCTGTGTGGTATTGATGAAGAAATAGAGACACATAGATCAGTGGAGCCCAGAAACAGACCCACAAATGTGTCCAACCGATTTTCAACGAAGAATGCAAAAGCAATTCAATGTAAGGAAGATAGCCTTTTCAATAAAATGGTGCTGGAGCGAGTGTATAGCCAGAAGCAAATAAATTAACCTCAGCCTAAACCTCATGCCTTAGGGGAAAAAAAAAGCTCAGAATAGATCATCATAAAGTACAAAATGTAAAGTAATAGAACTTTTAGGGGGAAAAAAACATAGAAAATCTTTGAGACCTAGTAGTAGCAAAGGGGTTCTTTGACTTGACATCAAAAACATGATCCTAAAAGGAATAATTGATCAATTCACCTTCATCAAAATGAAAACTTTTGCTTTGCAGAAGACTGTTAAGAAAAAGAAAAGACAAACGACAGACAGGGAGAAAATATTTATAAACCCCACGTCTCAAAATGGACTGGTATCTAGAATATATAAAGAACTCTCAAAACTCAACAGTTAAAAAAAAAAAAATCCAGTTAGAAAATGAACTAAAGACATGAAGAGACATTTTACTGAAGAAGATATATGGGTGGCAAATAAGTACATGAAAAGATGTTCAACATCATTAGCCATTAGAGAAATACAAATTAAAACCACAAAGATATCATAGGTATATATATAGCTATTAGGATGGCTAAAATAAAAAATGGTAACAACACTAAATGATGGTGAAGCTTCGGAGAAACTATATCACTCACACATTGCTTGTGGGTATGTAAAATTGTGTGGTATTCCAGAAAACAGTTTGGCAGTTTCTTAAACTAAACATTGTCAATTACCATACGACCCAACCATTGCACATCTGTCCAGAAGAGTGAACACTTACATTCACACAAAAGTTTGTGCATAAATGTTTATAGTAGATTTATTCCAAATAGCCAAAAACTGGAAGCCACCCAGATGTCCTTCAGTGGTTAAAGTGTAGTACATTCATGCCATGGAATACTACTCAGCAGTAAAAAGAATTAATTATTGATGTATGCAACAATCTCGAGGAGAATTATGCTGAATGAAAAATGCAAATCCCAAAAGATTATATACTGTATGATTTCATTTATATAACATTTTTGATATGACAGAAGTATGGACATGGAGAACAGATTAGTGGTTGCCAGGCATTAAAAATGGGTTTCGAAGGGAGGGATTGTAAGGCAACCGGGTGTGGCTATCAAAGGACAATATGAGAGATCCTGTGATGATGGAAATATTCCATATGTTGACTGGCTGTCAGTATCCTGGTTGTGACTTTGTACTATAGTTTTGCAAGATGTTACCCTTGGTGGCATCTGAGTGAGGGGGGGTGTGGAATCTTTCTTTGTTTGTTCTTATAACTGCATGTGAATCTAAAATTATCTTGAGATAAGAAAGTGTTTTTTAAAATATCACACATAATCTTCCCTCCCATCAGTGACCATTTTTGCCCTCCTACTATGTAGGGATAGCACAGACCATGGGTTCTACTGTGGGACTCCCTGGGTTTGATTGCATGCATCAACAGGGTGTTCTTGGGCAGGTTTCTTCACATCTTTGTCCTCAGTTTTCACACGTGGAGAATGGGGAGTAATCACTTTAATACTAACAATGCTTCTCTCATAGAGTTCTTGTAAGGATTAAGTAAATTTTAAGTCATATGTAAATGACATAACAGATTATGATAGTTCTAAGAGGACAAATAAGTGCTGTTGGTGATCCTAGTTATAACTGTATTAACTTTCATTTGTTTTTTCTTTTCTTTTCTTTTCTTTTTTCTTTTTTTTTTTTTGTGGTACACGGGCCTCTCACTGTTGCGGCCTCTCCTGTTGCGGAGCACAGGCTCCGGACGTGCAGGCCCAGCGGCCATGGCTCACGGGCCCAGCCGCTCCGCGGCATGCGGGATCCTCCCGGACCGGGGCACGAACCCGCATCCCTTGCATCGGCAGGCGGGCTCCCAACCACTGTGCCACCAGGGAAGCCCTGTTTTTTCCTTCTGTCACAGTTGAGATAATGTCTGTACACACTTGCACATTCTGTTTTTCACTTAAGCCTCAATTTTTTCCCAACAATTAATAAGATTTGAATCTAAAATTAAAAACTGTGGTAATTTTTTTCAATGTTTTTACAACCAAAACTTCAGACTTTAGTTTACTACTTAAACTTTGAAAAAAAAAATTTTTTTTTTTTTTAAATTTTCTATGTTTCGTTTCTGGTTTGCAGCTTGAACTACTGGACTTGTAGTTCTTTGCTCCTCTTATTTACTTTGCATAGAGTGGGCTGGTTGCTCGAGCAGAATTTTGTCCCAGGTATGCTTCTGGTCAATTCTCGCAGTCATTCTCCTGGCATTTCTAACGTGACTGAAGGGCAACAGTGTCTATTGAAACACTTCCTCTCTGGTTGGGCTATAGACCCTCCAGAAGGAAGTGGGGTGGCACGTGCAGCTTTTCCAAGCTTTTCCTTGGTCTCGGTTCGATTTGTGATAGGTAATTTGGGGTTGCCTTCACTATGTCTGAAGCATAATTTAAGATACTGTGATGAATGATATGTCTTAGCAGCTTCAAGCCACTTGCGTGAACTGACGTAGTTTCACACAGTCATGGGAATGCTTATGTAATATAACGAGTGAAATAGCAGCCTTCTTTGTGAATTCCAGCATCCAACGTTGAAGTCATAGACAAATTGAAAATAAATTGGAATGCGCTCTTTGACAAATGTGAAGACTAAAATAAGCCTAGACAAGAGTAGGCCGTGTAGATAAGGGGTATGATTTGGAGCTCAGTTTTCAAAAATAAAGCTGGTATTACATTTTAAGCTTTCCATGATGGAATGGTGATGTCTTAGGGTAAGGAAGCAGCCTCCCTAAGACCCTCTTCAAGCCATTTCATAATTCCAAACTGGGGCTCTCTTCTGGCCTCGGTTTGCCGTTAGACAGACTCTTTTCTTTGGTAGAAGAGAGTAAATGTTCAAGACTGTTTAAATCTTCTGTCATTGAGCTTTTTTACTTTTTTTTTTTTTCTTTTCAAACATATTTTTTGTTTTTGTTTCTGGATTTCAGCCATAACACAAAAACAACATCTTGGTTAGACCCTCGGTGCCTGAACAAGCAGCAGAAGCCTCTGGAAGAATGTGAAGATGATGGTAAGGAGCTAGGAAGTTCTGGGTTTTAGGGGCTTGTTCACACATGCAAATTTTAAAGCGTTGTAGCAGGGTCCACCGGGTTTCTAACAATGGGTTTTTGAAAGGTAATCCAGTTTCTAGTAAGTGCACTATGGTTTCCAAAAGCAGGAGAGAAATCAGCAAAATTGCTTTCAAAGAACGATTTGTTTAAACATAAGGGCATCCTCAGTTCTCTGTTAGAAACAGAACTTCAGCACAGTCAGAAACTATTCAAATGTAAGTGCAACCTGTGCCTTCAGGAACTTGGAGAAAATTCTAGAAACTCTCTAGGAATTTAGAAACCAAAGATGCTCTGATCACTTACTTATTGGACGCTAATCATATATTGTGACAGTCTTAGAGAAAAAAAAAAAAAAAGCAGGAACTTTTCTTGAACTCTTCATACTTCATAATTTGATTATTTCTCCAGGTTCAGCATAAAGAAAACAGATTTTGTTGTGATTGGGAGTCTGTGTGTGACTTAGAGTATATCCTAAATATGAGAAAGTCTATTCTTCCACAAAAGAGACTGAGCCCCACTCTCCCTGTTAATTAAAAGAAGAAAGAATCAATTGTCGATAAGAGTTACTATCATAAAAAAGAAAAGTTTATTTCAAGGCTTTGGAATTTCGAATTACTTTTGCAAAAGGAAAAGAAAATTAAGATGGAACAAATGTGTTCCCTTTCAGTCTATCCTAAGTTCTACCAAAATTGCTTTCTGACATGGACGAATTAAAAGGGAAATGGCTTGCTTTGCTACTCATTATTGATTTCTGGCATTTGAATTAGTAGTATAATTTTGAATACACATTTTACTGTAAGATAGTGAAACTTTATTAATTTATCCTATGGGGCAGAATTGATGTCCGTATAAATTTGAGGTTTGTTTGAAAATGTAAGCCCGTAAAATATGATCCTGTCAAAACCTTACACTCCAGAATATATGTGGATCGCAGATTACATGAAATGAACATAGAATTGCGTGTTCATGTTTAGCTGGGTGACTTCAGCTGGAAACACAAATCCTTCTGACTGAGGAGGCATAGCTGAGAGCCTCGTGGGAGCTGCATTATTTTGCATGCTTAAGGATAATGGACTGTCCTGATTATTCACATATTCTATTTAATATATAATACAGAGGTGACCAGTTTTCAAAGTTCAGAACATAAAATACATCCAACCATAAAACTTCTCAGAACAAAATTCAATCTTTATTTGATGCCTGATGATTTTGAAGCCATTTTAGGCCCTCTTATTACCAACAGATCTTCAATGTCAGTATCCATTTTAATTATATTGGGAATGTATGAAAATGCCTGTTAATATAATTCTGTAGATAATAGAAGGCTCCAGTAGCTTTTACTGAGAAAAATGGAGTAAAAGTATTGAGTAGAATTACTGAATGTTTTTCTTAACAATGCTGGTTATTTTTAGTTCTTAGAATTCATGTCATTGGTGTTAATGTTATTCCCTTTGGAACAAGTATGTATTCATACCAAAGGCTTAGTAATTGTCCATTCACCATTTGAATTCATAGATTCTTTTTCTGCTAGAAACTATATGTATGTCTGTGTGCCCTTATACACAAATGTTATAAATATATAACCAGATTATACCACAGTGGCAAGTATCAGTTCCCATATTTGCCTTTTCTCTTGCCAGTTACCACAAAGCTGCCTTGTATTGTTTTTTATTATCATGACACAAAGAAGAATCACATTGTTGGTCACCATATTGTTCCTGTGTTTCTTTCTATTCTCTGTAAGTCACATGCATATCAAATGTAACAGTATGGCATCATACTTATTGTAAAAATGTTCTATTTTCTTTTTCCTATCTCGAAAAAGTCAGAAACTAGTTTGGATTTTGATCTTCAGTGTATAAGCCCTGTTGTTATTTCTGTGTTTTAGTAGTTCGCTTAGAGGCCTTCTACCTTGCCTTTAAGCTCCAGGCCAGTATTTTAATCTTTAATAACACTGTTTGTCTCAAAGAGACTTTAAACTCATTCTGATGAAAACCCAACTAATGATTCCACCTCCACCCCAAATCTGGTCTTCTGTAAGTATTCCCCATCTCAGTGGAGGGTAAATTCATACATACTTAAGAGTCCCTCATGCCATTTTCGTTTTCTTAACACCCACTTCTAACCCATGTACTCCCAGTTGACTTCACCTTGCCTCCCAGATGTCTCTGGAATCCATTCTCCATTTTCTTCACTATCTCTGCCATGCTGGTCAAGGTCATGCTCATCTTCCACCCAGACTCTTGCCTGCTCTCCTTCTTGCACCGAACTCAGAGCAGTTTTTTAAAATGTCTTTGTGTCATCACCACCGCCTCAAGCCCTGTTTAATGGCTCTGGTCTGTTCTGTAAATGCCAAGTCCATAGCTTGTGTCTCCAAGCTCTCTGTGGTTCAGTCTCTAAGCTTGTCTGACTCTCGTTCCAACCCGTACTCTATCCTTCACCCCCACGAGTCCTCATCGAGCTGCTGCTTCATGATCATTAGATGTGCAGTTCTCCCTTCTTAGAATACTCTTACATCCCACAAGTAATTATTGAATGCCTTCTCTATGTCCAGTGCATTCTGGGAATTTCAGATGTATCATTGAACACAATAAACAAGAAGCCCTGCTCTTGCAGAGCTTAAATTCTAGTCATTTTTCACTGTAAGTCTTTTCATTCACTTTTGCATAACCTTCAGATTACAGCTCAGGGATTCTGCCCCTGACTTTGCCCCCAGATATGATTAGGTCAGTCTATTATGTATCTTAACTTCAGAGAACTTACCACAGTTTTAATTTAATTTTTGTCTATGTGAGCTTTGGCCATGTTTCCTTTCCCGGAAGGATAGAGATGTGCCTATTGGTGCTCATTTTGATGTCGCTGTCACCTGGCATAGTGACTGGCACATAGTAGTTCTCATTAAAGAATTTTTGAGGAAATGAATGAGTGCCCCCAAAGATATTTTAAATAATACCCAAAAGGCCATTTTCATGAACGATTTTATGTAAATAAGATCCCCTTCTTAGGAAACAATACCAGTGTCAACCTTATTGTTGGCATTTGGAGAGTTTTTAAATCAAGAGTTTACAAGGTGTGTAGGGCCGCATTGGTGACTAAAGTCAATAATCGATTCATTTGTTCATTCATTCATCCATTTGAGAAATATTTGGTACCTATTATGTATCAAAAACTTCAGTGGCCACTGAACATATTGTAGTAGTGAAAACAGGCTTGATCCCTGTGTTTGTGGAGCTTAGAGTGGAGGGGATAGCCACCCGCTGTGTAGCTGGAGTGACTGTCTATGACATGATGTGTTGTGTGCTGTCCTGTGTTTTCTTCACAGTCAAAATAAAATGCTTTACTGACAGCCAGAGACGGTCAAGAATGGAGAGGATCTTTTCTTGTTTTGCTCACTGAAATTACAGAGAACATTTTCATTCTATTATTTCTGAGCTGTTTGACTTAGAAATCTTATACAAAGTAAGCTCCATCTCCCACTGCTCCTTTTGGGGCAGCCATCAAGCCTCACTTCCCCCATGTATATCATCCTGACATAGTTCATTTTTCTAACTCCTTTTGAAAGACGATGAAGTGTAGCTCACCTTAGAACCTGTATTCTCAATTTGACCTCGCCTTCCGTTTTTCAGGCAGCGGTATTACTTATAAGTTAAGTAATTTTGCCTCGCTGATTAGAAGATTATTGAAGGATTAAAAGGACTAATATTGAAAGGTCTAACAGCTTTGTTTGCTCGAAATAAGTGACTTGCCACGTAAGAACGTTGAAACCGCAAAGGTGTTTGTCATCATTCACAACCGATCAAACCCTATTTTGCCATGCAAGGAAATGAGCCATATAATTATGTTGCCAATATCAGCTCTTCCCGTTTTGTGATTTACATTGAGGTCTCGAGTTGAGTAGTCAAGCCAATGAAATAAGCCACAATGCAGGTAAGGACAAAACAAAGTGATGTGTTTGCTGCTGTTTTTCTTGAGGGGAGTTTCTTTTCTTGGTGCTGGTGTCTGAATTTTTCTTTCTCTCTTTTCTGTCTCATTCCTGCTATTCCTTTG